CGCCATGTCAGTGTTGAAATGTAACGTGGTGCTAATTTTGATCGTGATGATACCTTCACTTACTATTCAAGCCGCTCGCTTCAATCATATTCCGCCCCATAATTGTGAACTTGTAAATGAGAATGAGCATAGAAAGGTTAACAGCGCATAAAGAAAGAGAAAATCCTTCGGCTGCGAGGGGAGATTTGGTGTAACAAAATAGCATAAGTAATAAAAAAGGCAAAAGCGAAAAAAGAAATGACCTGCGAGCGATTCACAACGCCTATGATACCTAGCTTCACTGGCACAATTTTGCCCATCAAAACATCCATGGCGTCTGTTCCCTGATCCATGAGATCCAGTTTTGTTAGAACTGCTAGTGTTCGTTGCCCTGAGTAAGAGTTTTCATTGCTAATTTCATGGCAGTATGGGAGAACAGAAAGATACATTCAGTGAAGATATTACCTTCAGGATCGACTTCTCGTGCCATCTTGATGGGTTCAGATGTAGCAAAATCTTGATTTGCAGGAGTTACTGCCAATATAATTGATGAAGGATTAGAAATATAAGTAACCAGCATTTCACGTATTTGTTCCTAAACACACTTTGCGGAACTATTAAATAGGAAAGTGGCGTATCCAAAAAACCTCGATATTTGGCGGCTGATCGCCAACGGGAACTTTTGTAATTCCAGGTAAGTCCACTAGTGACAGGTTGACGACGTTTTTCGAGTAAATCCGGAGAATAATAGGGATAGGAGAAATACCCTGAAGCAATATATACTGCGATTCGAACGAAGAACGTAAATCATGATACCAGCAACACACAATGGCAATAATCAATAAGAAAAAAAGGATTATACCTTATTTGTACCAGTCACTCTGTCAGTTTCAGTTTCTATTTCTTTCCGAACCAAAGAAAAATCAGTGAAGATTTTACTTCCAGTGTGTTCAAACATTGCCCAATCATCTGTGATCATTGACCCTAAAACAACATTCTTATAGAGGAACTGAATCACGCATCCCATATATGTGTACCAACAAACCGTCGGGCTTTCTCCGTCTAAATTCATCATCAGCTGGAACATGGGAAAGATGAAGTATAAGCGGCCTCCTTGTTACGATCCCTGTTCCTCGTGGTAAAAAATCTCTACCAACAAGATTTTCTAATACTGAGCTCTTTCCAGCACTCTTAAAAAAGAATTTTACAGTCATAAAAAGTGTTACGAAGGACCCTATTTCTATGGTGCACAGCACATTCTTAAAAAAAGCATATTCAAAAAAAGATATTTCCAACCTGTGAACCAATAACAACGATCTGGGGTAATTGTATTTGATCTTCGCGTCGTCCTAACGTTGCAAAAACATCTTGTAATTTGTTCACGACTGGTATAAGAGATTCCATCCTATAACATGCATAGAAGAATTTTTCAACGTAATATAAAAAAATCTTTGTTAAGAAGAGCTTCAAACCAAAATGGGAATTCAGGTAGAAATCTAACAGCATATGGAAATAAGCATACTGGATGTCACTTTTCATTCTTGGTCAATTCTTACACCTTAGAAGAGTAATGTCAGTTATATTATACACCGAAATGAGACGGTCAATTGAGATGAGTCTAAATTAGAAAAATCTTGTACACTGGATAATAATTTGGAGCTCTAAGGGCAGCCCCGCACAAATCCATATAAGTTAATGTAATTATTAATATCGAACGCCAAGAACAATAAACACAAAAGCTTAATCACATGGCAAAAGAATCGGGTCCTCTGTTGCTCTAAAACCTCAAATTACCATAGAAGAAGTATGCAGAAGGAATAAAAACACTCATACTCAGTCACATTCTTTATAAGCGGTATAAATAACAAGCGAGGAAAGAATAGACGGAAAGAATAAACGGAAAGAGGAAAAAGCAAATGAAAGAAGGACAAAGACGGGAATCCAGTCTTCCTTTCGTCACAGCCACATAAATGAACAAACGGATGAATATACACGAACACATCTAAAAAGACTTTCGACAGTTGCCAATCAATAGAACATTCAGTCACGTCACCAGAATGAAGTACGAGAATGAAAATGTCAACACCTGTGAAGTGGCGTCTGAATGCACCTAGAAAAAAGAACAGATGATAAGAAAGATAAAATGACGCAAGTCAGTGACAACTGCGATCGCAAGAAGGCGGTGACTAGATGCGCAAAGAAAACTCTGCACCCATCGCGCAATCAACACTCAGTACTGACGACAGTTTTTGTTCATCGCGGTCCACTTGGACTAACAAACTAGAATAATTGAAGATAATAGCGAACACTTGTCTCACTGTTCAACGAATGAATGTGCGAGATAGCTTCGCAAAATCATAGTGTGAGCATAACTTAACGGGGGCGTAGGTATGAGGCACACTGACTCGAAGAAGCTGATACACCACAGACATATTGGATAGAGTTTTGCGATGTGG